GGCCCAAATCCTCGTTAGCTCCCTCAATGGGCCTCGCTGCTGCCCTGTCACTGGCCAGCGCGAAGGTCGCGGGTTCCTCGTGGGCCCTGGCCTGGCGGACTTGTGGTTTTATGACCTAGTGCTCGACAGTACTCTCAATTTCCTTGCGGCACTTTTATAATTTTACCACAACGCCATTGTCATTTTCTCATTCACATTATGCCTCGTACCGGTTTCGGGTATGGACTTCCTCTAGAAAAGCCAGGACGTACGCAATGACACTCGAAATACTTCGGGGGGGAGGGGGCGCTGATAGAACTTGATCGGGAGAACATCGTAAAGTTTATTGAAGATCACTAGGGAATTGAGTTAGATAGTTTGATGAAAAGGTAGTATTGAATCATTCCTCGGAATTTTACAAAAATATAATACAGATATTATAATAAAAACTAAATATACATTTTATTTCCTCCTTCATCCATTAAAATATTTGTTAATAAAGAGGCTTTTCTACCTGTTATTTCTGATTATAATAAGCGAAGTACACATTTCACGCATGCACATATATTAAACGAATGGCGAAGGACACACCATGCACCATGTAGCAGATACAAGTCAAGAATATTACTCATGATGTTCCCAAGTGGAACACGATGTCAAGAATTTATATGAACGATCTCTTCTAATAGTTTTGGAGTTGAAGTAACCGAACGGAAAAGTACCCTCAAGACCAATATTAGTATGTCTTCTGGAAGAAGACGTTCTTGAGACAATGCTAAAGTGACATCTTAACTCATTGAACATCTTTTCATACTATCGTGAACAACATTTTTCATGATGGCTATATTGATGTGATCTGTCATTCATTCTCTCTCCCTCTCCCTCATTCTCTCTCTCTTTCTCTCTTCCCCTCTCTCCCTCTCCCTCATTCTCTCTCTCATTCTCTCTCGTACCACACTAGACTCACCCAAAGCAAAAGCAAAACCACGTACGTTTCGTTTTTAGACTGCTCGGCATTATCTCATACTCAGGAATTCACCACCAGCAGGGTACCGCAGCAGCCCGGAGAAGTTCCAAAGTATCCACTAGTCTCCTAATACGTGCAATGGTGTAGTGGAATTTAGTGTTTGTGTGTGTGTGTGTGTTATTGTGTAAATAATGGGTGAGGATAAGTCAAAGCGGGAGAAGGAAAGATGGCGTGCGGTCTGTGGCCCGTTTGTTACAGGTTCTGCTCTGGCATTCGCCTGGAGTTGATCGGAGAAACCACAGAAAACTATCGATCAGAGTGGCCGGTCGCTCGAATTCTCCTTCAGACAGCGGCTGAATTCGACCTACTATCTTCGTAGCCAGGGTCGAAAATTCTGCCACCGAATGGACTAGAAACTTTAGACGCCGTGCTTAAAGGCTCATCAGTGACATCAATTGATGCTCTGCAGCGCAGCTTGTTATGAACAATTTGAGGAACATTTCGTTAACTTAAAGTTTGCTATTTATCTTTTCTGAATACAGTGTGGTTTCATTTTGACGTGAAGCAATTCAGAGGTTGATAATTATCACAATTCATACATAATGATTTTATTTTGAATCAATTTGCTTTTCATGATTTCCTTTTCAAAACCTATTCTTGTAGTTTAAAAATAAGTAAACCCATTGAACTATGTGCCCTTGACCGTTGTATTGGATAAATGGAAATACTCCAACGGAGATATCCTCAACATATCTTTGAAAGAAGTAGTCTGAAATGGAGGCGATATTATCAATGACGCAATAAATGGTCATCGTGTTTCGAAAATTTCGATGGCCCATTGCTCCCTCACAACCACTGGCACGAATATGCTGGGCAAACTCGTACGCGAGGATCTGCTCGTAGGCGAGCGCTGCGGCGGGTAGTGAAACGGCCGAGCACGGGGACCGTCTGCCGCTTCCGCCGGCTTGCGCACCCCCTCCCCGGCCTTTATTGGTTCGTCTTCTGCCCCATCCCTCCGCCCCGCCCCGCCCCCCCCCGCCCGCCCCCGCCCCGCGCCGCATTCCGCGCGTCCGCCCGCAGCCGCCCGCGCCGTCCCGCGCCGCCCGCGCCCGCCGCCCCACGGAAATCGGGGACCGAGCGCTGATGACGGGCTTGCACGCGATGCCCTTCCGCAGTTAGTGAAGAAATGCCCCCCCGCTGTAAGCCTTCTCGGCCGGCGGCGGCGCGGGCCAGGGACGCGCGTGGCGCAGGCGCGCGGCCCGTGCGGCTAACTTCCTACTTGCCGCTGCAGCAAAAAGGCAGACCCAAGGCCTCAAAACGTCGCCGAGAAATAACCATTGCCATTTCCATATGCCTTTTCCCTCTCCGCCGGCCCTGTCTTCCATGGAGAACCGCGGCCCGACCCGTCCCCGCTCCCTTCTTAACCTGCTCCGGAAAAAAAAATCGGCTCTGAAGGACACCGTTTCCGCCGCCCGCGCGTCGCCCGCGCTCCGCCCGCGCTCCCGCCCCGCGCTTCCGCCTCCGCGCTCCGCCCCGCGCCCACCCCCCCCCGCGAGACCTCAGACCTGCCTCGACGCTCCGCAGACAGACCTTCCGACGTAGGCACAGGCTGGACACTGCTCGAGGTTTCGTATCCAAGGAAAACCTTATACAATGAGCAGTGCGTGAGATGAACAAATGTCATGGCTGCTCCCTTGCAAGACGATTTCGTTCGTACTTCAATTGACGCACTCCAGCTATGTATCTTAAGGTTTCATGGATGCGTTATTTGTTATAGGTGTTTTATCATCTTTGTAGAAATCGTCCACCTCCGTAGGAATAGCCAACAGTCGATAAAACTAGAATGCTCTATTGTTCATTGACATACGGTAAAAAATGATTAAGCCATAATGTAAGATATTAATACCACATAACATCACTTCACTAGTACTCCATTATCTACAACTGAGTCCTGATATAGGTTGATAAATGTAATTCATGAGTACTTGATAATGATGAAAAGATAAAATGGGGAATAGTGGAACTAGAAACAGGGAAACATGAGAGGCCCTAAGAAAATCTTTGTGAACTGCACTGCCCACTACATAAGCAATTTAAATTAATAAATAATTTAGAGAAAATTGTAATTTTTGACATAACATTCCCTACTTGAAATATACATTTCCTAAAGATTTGTCTTTATGGACACAGTCGAAATCGAACGTGATTAAAATAAGTAGTAATAGAAGGAGTCTGGATGAATACGTAAGTATGTAATGAAAACGATAAAAATATGTGACAAATATGTTAAAAAAATTATATTTAATATCAACTTAATAGTACATTTACCATCGATCAAAATAAATGTTCACAATTAAAATAGCAGAAATAAAAGGTTTTTAAACCATTTTTTTAAAAATATTGTTTGTCGTACTAGATTAACTCTTTTTAAAAGTACATTTGTATCTTTAAAAGCAATTATGAGCATCAATAAACTCAATGATCGGTAAACAGTCACTGCTGCATTATCTTCTAGTGTTACATGTCTGCGACAACCAATACGTATCGTAAATTGACATTAAATATAAAAAACACGACGTCACTGATACCCTCCACACGTAAAGGTAATATTCTCAACGCTCACGCGGGTTTGTCGCCACACGTATGGCGTGCAGAGGGAGGCTGAACCAGACATATTGCGTGCTTCTATCGCATCTTTAGGTGGGGTATTTTGCGTTGTCAGTATGCAATTCTGATTTTGCGTGCGAAAAAAAATGCTGATTTTTTAAATAAAAAGTTTTTTAAAAATTCATTAAATATTTTTTGCGAAATAATTTCATGAAAATTGAAAGGATAATATATCGCTGGTCCGAATAGACGAGATTATTAAGACAGTAGTGCTGTAGCGACCTCGGACCGAAGAATCGCGGTTTCGAGTCCCACCTCGGGTATGGTTTCATTTGTACTCCTCCTTTGACAACATTATCATCACCATATTATATCATCACGTTAAATGTAATAGTGATCGCTAATGACCTAGATGTTGATGCGACCTATAATAATAATAATAATAATAATAATAATAATAATATAAAGTTTGTCAAAATATGTAAAATTTAAGCAAAATACATAAAATATATAATTTATTAGAAAATATGAAACGAAAAATTTGAATATGGTGTCAGAATTGCCATGATTCCCAAACCCATAATTTTGAGAACATACAAAGACAAAAATATGAAGAGACTTAAGAACTCGGATTCTTAGTAATAGAAACAGCTCCTGTGCAAGAAATATTTAACATTTTATTTTGAATTTAGTACGTTAAAAAAATTATAATTCTTGTTTTCATAAAATACAGAATAATTGACTTCATATGCAGGAACTCCTCAACATCAGGCTCGAATGTTGATAAATAAAACATCTAGTTTTCTCTATGAATTCTTTTTCGTGAATTTTTATTCGCGATACATGCTGAACTACGACTAGGGTAAGCTAGGCTTCCCGCCCAGCACCGCAGCATGTCCCATCTGTTAAAATCACTGCGCCGACAAGAGGTCTGCTTCGGGCAGTTACAGGCCGACTCCAGCCTACATCATTTAAATTTTGACGTTATATTTCGTCGCGAGTGTCATTTTTTTCCGTAAAGCATAGTGCGCAGAAAGCTTCACTAAGATATGTCACATTTCCTATCTGTCCTCAATAAACAGGTATATATCTATAAAACTGTAACTCACTCCTTATTGTCAGCATAATCCCTAAAAGATTTTGTTCAGTACACTATTCAGAAGACTAAGTGAAGAGTAGTTTACGCAAGTGAAGCGAAGCATCGTATTTACATTTGCATGTATTTTGAATGTTTAATATATAATATTATAGAACGCGTCTGTTGAGGTAAGATCAGATTTCACGGATTGGGGTAAATTAAAAAAATAAATAAATAAAAAGAAACAGTTTTGTTATAAATGCAATGTTTAGTAATAATCTGAAAATTAAAGGATCATCTCAAAATGTTTTTGAAATTAATGCTATTAAATCCTATCATTTTTATACGTAAAGGAGGAAAAAGACATACCCGCCGCAAACCAAGTGCTGTCGTCAGTGTATAGCTATCGCACCACTGCGGGTTGCGACGTTACTGGGTGCTCCGTTCTGTGCTCCGTTCTGTGCTCCGTTCTGTGCTACGTTCTGTGGGTGGTCACAAAATGGAATTGCAGAGTTACCTGCGCAGTGCGCGTGGCTGTGCGCCAGGGCTGCCAAATGCCAAAGGGCTCGCGGTGAGAGGGCGTCCTACTGCGGCGCAGCACAAGAACAAGCTGTCCGGCGAGCGCAGGTGTCTGCGGGGGAGATGGTGCCGGGCGACGACGGGCAAAGAATAGGCTGCTGGAGGAGTGTGATTAGAGAGAGGTCAAGACTCAATACCGTGAGTGGATTTTACATGATGTGAGTAAAATTTATGGGGAAATAAGTTTACGAAAATGCATCGTGAATAAAGAAAAAATCAGAATTTTCGGCCCCGGGTACATGCAAGGAACTGTGGAACAATAAAATGTTATGCCGTAAAAATGAAATTGTTGCAATCTTAAAATAAATTATTTCATCTAATTACACCATAATTCTTTTACAGAAATAGGGTAACCTGCACGTGTCCGTCCGTCCTCACTTTCAGACTCATCCCGTCCACGGCTTGGGCAAGAGAAGAGTCCCATTTGCTTATAACCTTCTAACGTATATTTTTAATACAAGAAGTATAAAATACTTTGAAAATGGTTTACAGCTTCTAAGACACCAAACTATGCTTGTTTCTAATAAAAAAAAGTTTTTTGGCCAGTATTCTGTTTATTACATATTCTACTAATTTACTCTTCAAACGTGTTCTATTACTCTAGACTCTACACTAATTCCTCTGGTTGGTATTGAATCCTACTAATAATACAGTTTTTAAATCACTACTTTATAATTTATTTCTTTTTATTTAAAGATCTCAATATCTCTCCTTTGTTTGTACATTATTTTTCAAATCAAATTTACACGTGGATATAAAAATTTATATAATACTTCTGCAGAAGTTGTTATATCTCAAACATGTTTCACAAATTATTATTAAATTATTAAAATGTTGATGTAAGAGATTCAAGGATCTGAAAAATACATAGGTGTCTGTGATATCTGATCACAGTGCACTATCGTCCCTAACACAGGGTAAGGAAAAAGTAAAGATCAATTCAACTACAGTACAAACAACGAATATGGATAATAAAAAGGGGAAAAATGTCCATTGTCATTACTCCGACGAAAAGAAGCGACCTACACACATCTATTAAAAACCTACACAAAAATTCAAATATTGTACGAAACAAATCACTGTTTGAATATCGTAAGTAATTGTATCAATAAATTTTTCAAGCGCATATTATTTTCCACATTTTATGTCCATTCACTGCCATTTCAATAATAATGATTATTATAATTCAGTTAAATAAAACGACTGATTAACAATAATCTAGTTTCATTTCAATTAAAAAAAATGAATTGAAGATTCTGAACCTAGATGATTCACCCTCCAAAACTTGACATTTCAATTCATGAATTACTTAAACTTTATTAGCTTTAACAATTGATTGTATATCATCATAGACACAAATGATTTATGCAACAAAATTACTTTATGCATTTTAATTTTAATGTATATACACAGTATTTATATAATTACATAAAATCATTTATTTTGTTGATGAAATTCGAAATTGAAGGAACTGTGAAACATGTGAGTGGTCTTTCAACTAATTCAGTGTCATAAAATAAAAAAAAAGATATTATTAAAAATGTTACTGAAAAATAAAACTTTTTTTCATACCTTCCTATATTATGATTTTCATTTTAAGTCCCAAACATGTCTCGAGGTTTGCCGGCTAAGCGAACATGATGTAGGTTGAGCAGTGGCAATGCTTAAGATACAAGATTGTACAACCCCCAAATAATTATCAAATACTCTTCATTGTATGTAGAATTTCTTTCCGATTGAATATCATTCAATAATCAAGACATTGAAAATATATCGATGCATGAAATCGTGTTGAAATGAAATAGTAGCCGTCGAGCGCTGCCTCTGACGTATTGCAAGCCAGGCAACGCACCGTTGTGACGTCACGCGCTCTAAGCTTGTGAGCGCTGCGCGCTTGTGAAGCGCTCTAAAGTGCGGGCATGGCTTAGCATGGAGAAGCCCGAGCCTCCAGTCTTCAAGTGTGTCCCAATGCGAGCAAGCGGACGCTTAAGATAATGGTGCAGGTCTCATATTCGTTGAAAACTCTGATTTTTCGAAAATTGCAAAAGTTCAATTTTTTTTCTTAGTATTCCTACAACTAAAATATTAAAGACAGAGATTTCTTCCCTAAATAAAATTTGTTCCTTAAAATAAGAATTAATTTTAAATATTAATTCTAAGTTACTAATTTTGAAATAAGAACATACACAATTTGTTGAAAATTTGAGTACTTTTCGGGTAATTTTTGCATGAAAAAAGGGTGATGAAGTACGTGGTGTTTTATCACCACTAGTTACTTTCTCGTTACGGAGTAGAGAGAAAGTTATGTCATGCTGCGCGGAAAAACGGGAAATTTTCGGGTCTAAAACTCTTACTAGGGGCCATGATAACGAAAAAGCGGATAAATCCAGTTCCTAAATTTAGAAAAAAATCCTCTATCATATGGTGTAGCCAGAATCCATGTTTTGTGAGTCCTTGATAACGAAAAATCAAATGACGGCAAAACGTCAGTCCATCTGTTTGTCCATTCGTCTGTTTGTCTGTCCGTCTGTGAACAACGCTAGCGGCTAAACCGTTAACCCGATTTTCTCCAAAATTGATATTCCCCAATCTTGCTGATGCCGCGGTTCATTGAATTTTAAATCCTTATTTTAATTTTGGAAGGTACTTTACATGGCACATGGGACATTTTCCAAAATTAAAAAGATAGGTCACTTGTTTTTTTATTAAATTTTGTTGTTGGATAGTGTAAAGGACGTTTAATAGAATGTTGCAGGACTCGTATTTGTTGAAAATCCTGATTTTTCAAAAATGGCAAAAGTCCAAAATTTGTTCGGTGTTTTTCTACAACTAAAATATTTAAGACAGAGATGTTTCTCTTAATTATAAATTTTCCTTAAAGATAGATTTTGAGATAATGTCATGAACAATTTTTCGAAAATATGAGTACTTTTCGCGTAATTTTCCATGAACATCCGGGCGATAAAGTACGTGCTGTTTTAGCACCACTAAATATCCTAGGGTTTGTGAAGGATTACAGTGTTAAATATGTATTTCTCAGGTATTCAGCATAAAATGTTTAAAAAAACTTTTGATTTATGTCATATCGAAGAAAAAATAGATATTAAGAGACATACAAAACCAACACCATGACTTCACAAGTTTATTGAAAAGATCATTTTATCGAAAGTTCACAAATAATATTTCATAGTTCATACAGGTGGTTATGTGTTTGTGATACTAAGGGAGCTACGTTTTGCTTCCCCAGTGAATTATTTGGAGGTGAGGATACATGGTCGAATAGCATAGCGAATCGCTTATTCGTTGCGTTTAAAGATTTTGCGCTTCCAGTATAGTAGACGAATTAGATACTAATGCATTTATCTAAATTACATATTCGTCATTTGATTGAGCTGCAACCTCTCAATGTTTGGGTGGCACCAGCCATCCCTGAGGATGACAGAGGTAATGATGAGTGAGTGAATGAATGAATAAGTAAATGGATGGACGAATGGATTTACTCATGAAGGAATAAGAAGATGGAGCTTTGTGCAATGAAAAAGAGGAGGTACGAGAAATACCGTGGAAACTTGCTGCAAACTTGTTTTGTTTCCGACATTTGGTGAATGAAGGTGTCGTAGAATTCCTATATTTGGATCATAGGTTTGGAAGAGGATGATAAGCGCTCTGAGTATTTTGCTCTTAGCAGCCTAATATTATATATTCTTTGATTGTAGGCTAACAATGAGATTGAAGGAAGACGAATTTCTGTACACGCAGGCAATCAGATGCCGCAGATTTGAGGAGCGTCCAAATTAAAGGGAACATCACTACATTCTCCAGAAGCAGAGAGAAGGCGGAGCAGTCTCGAGAATTCTAAAGTATACTTTCATCAAACATATATTGGTCAAACGTGAGAAGCATTTTCTAACAACTACTTGTATAATCAATTGTATTTTACTATTAAACTGCATCATAACAAACGTGATGAATTCGTAGCGTGTAATGGACTGTACTTGTTAAAATTGTGTTCTAAAACATTTTTGTGGGTATGTAAAAAGAAGTTTTCACATTGAACACCGTGAGCGATGATATTTTTTTCGAATTTATAAAAAAAAATTATATAGATATCCTCCTTCAACTATATTGAAGATAAATTATTCGAGAGCGTGAAGCATTATATAATTGGTAATTGATCGACATAAGATCCAAAATATTCAATACACTGATAAACACATACATGTGTTTTGCTTTGAAAACACACTTGCGCCATTCTTTCATTGCAAGCCTAAATAATCACACACAAAATTATTATTATTACAAAACTATTATTTGTATGTACTCTCCAAATTAATTGTGATCTGTCCCCCGTCTCCCTTACTAAGAAGAAAATCCGAGGACCGCTAAATTATTCGACGTGTATTCCTCCAACGAACTTAATAGAAATGCGATGAAAATAAAATGTACTATGTAATACAACACTTTTCTGCATTTATAATTTGTGACTATTTCTTTCCAATAAAGAAGGCCTTCTTCTCCATGTCTGAGCTTCATATATTATTTGTCGCCTCTATGATATTTTTAATTGTTTTTTTCTTAATTATATTATTGTAATCATGTTATTGTATTCAAGTTTCATTTTGCCACAGCATCATTTGGAAATTAAATTATCAACGAATACATTGAATATAATAATAATAATAATAATAATAATAATAATAATAATAATAATAATAATAATAATAATAATAGTGTTGCCTATATTAAGAAACTGCACTATTATCCTTAAAAACAGAATAAAATATCTTATATGTAGTATTAATGCAGTTTTTATAAATGATACATGCGTTAGAAAAAGGAATATAATATACATTACGTGAATTTATAGTATCACATCAAACGTTTGATACCTTGGAACGCATCT